TGTTTTAGGGCCACCCCATGCCTCCACAGTAGAGCTGCACCTGCAGCAACAGCAGGATTGTGTTAAAGGAGAACAGTTTGTAAAAGAACTGTGATAAGAGATGCAGTAAATCAAATCAAGCAACTACAAAATTATATTTTTTCATCTGTTTTAATAACAATAAGTCTGATAAAGTTAATCCAGATATTGTCGTTAAGAGAAAACTTAGATAAGCAGATGACCCCCTAATAGCAAGCACTTGGTGACAATGGGAAGGGAAAACTCCCTTTTAACAGGAAGAAACCTCGACAAGAGCCAGGCTCAGACAGGGGCAGCCACCTACTACGACTGGTGAGGGGAGGGAAACAGGACAAAAGACACACTGTGGAAGAGAGCCAGAGTAATAATAACTAATAATTAAATGCAAAGTGGTAGGTAAACACATAGTGAGTGGAAAAAAGGTGAGTGAAGTGCATCATGGGAAACCACAGCAACCTAGGCCTATTGCACCTTAACTAAGGGAGGATTCAGGGTCAGCTGATCCTGCCATCCTCAAAAAAGCAAAGTTTTAAGCCCAATATTAAAAGCCACATTATCTGTCAATGTCAATTATCTGTCTTACGGTGTAAGCAATATTCCAGCACAGACATGCAAAGCTGTGAGCAGAACAGGGTCACTCGTGTTTATCTCACTAGCTGGGACCACATCCTCAGTGACGATGATCGATGATGGATGAGGAACCGTGTACTGGTAAACGGCCTGTATTTGTATTGCGCTTTACTTAGTCCCTAAGGACCCCAAAGCGCTTTAAACTACATTCAGTCATTTACCCATTCCCCATGTACTAACGAGAAGTGGATGAAAGAAAGATGAGAAGAAAGAAGAAAAAAGGGGGCGGGAGAAGGGTGGGGCATGAAAATGAGAACAGCAGGTATTGGTGAAGGGGCTTATAGAGCCTGAGGCCAGAAGGGGCGTGAATGAGGTGTGATCCCGCTCCTGAAATTCAGATAATATCTCCACTTATGATGTGACTGTTCATGGAAGGATGAATTGTGAAATGTCCTCTCTGCTCAGATTCAGCCAATGCTCTGAAACTGCAAATGGATAATGCAAAGTGCAAAGGCAGTCTAAGAGCAATCAGTCTAATTTCTCTCAAAGCAGAGAAATTAGATATTTTTCTGTGGCCAAGTCAGTCACCTGATCTCAGCCCAACAGAGTTTGCTTTTCAGTTACTGAAGATGAACCTAACCTATCAAATTACATCCTCCTTGTATGGAGGCTTGTATGGTGACTTTGAACCTAATGGTACCCCTTTCTTTTCGCTATTTTGCAACTTCTGATCATTTTTACTCTGTTCATTAGCATCATCACAATTAATCCTAAAACAGTGACTCTGGTTAGTTGTATGGTCCCCAATCTGAAGCCTGGAAGGAGACACGAAGCAGTGGACTCCCAGTGAGAAACAAGGCAGCAACCAAAAGTAACTTCAGGTGCCAGTGCATCGAAGACTGTATCACAAGATGAACTGATACAATATACTCTTGTCACTCCAACATGTCAGCATGTAGCTGATAGAGCTGGTGACTGCAACCTACCATAAAATAAAGAGTAAAACCAGAGACAAAGATGATTTTAACTGATAGCATTGATTACTTTGCCAGTTCTGTTGGTTACAGTAATTGTGAAATTAAAAATTGTGATACGTATGACAATTTTGTATGACAAATTTAATTTTACTTGTTGCTACAGATGAAAAAATAAACATTCAGGATGTTTAAGTTAAATTCAGTATTCACTGTGGTACTTCCCGGTTTTAATTCTACTTTTAAATCTAATACATTTTGATTCTTCACATAAAGACCCTTCTTGTTCAAAAGTTTTAACACAGTCCAACTTCTCAACTAAGGAACGGATCTTTTTCCACTTTTTGACATAACACCCTCCCTCCCTGTGATGTCTTTAAATAGACTGGCAGCCTTGAAATAATCACATATGTATCTGATGCACAACCACGACAATGAGCACAGGGTACTACTAAAAATCTGAAGATTTCTTCCATGCTGAGATAAAATCACTTTCTAAAAATACTCATAAAATCTCAGATACAAACACCCGCAGTATTAAGAAATCAGAGAGCATCTGAAGAGCTATTTATAATACTGGCTCAGTTCAGTTTTCCTCCTTTTTTTTTTTTTTAAAGACACTTTATGTCACATATCGTGTTATTTAAATAGACAGCATGGGCTCCTACTAGCAGTTATTCGTTGATAGTACACAATTACAGTGGCTGGTTTAAAAAGGGCACCGTGACATTTAAGCCTGCTTAGTGGCAAGGTTATAAGATTTATATCAATACAAGCATCTTCATGTTCCACCTTAAGTGGTCATACAAGTAGTAACACAACCATAAGTAGCTCTTGTAGCTCATTGAAAGATATGGGTGATAATATACAGAACAGAGGTCCTGCAGACTGGGTACAGATGCATGAAAAATAAAAAAAAACAGCTTCAAGTGTCTTAGTCAGTTGACACCGTGTCTTGCTTGATCAGCTTCAATGATCCTTGGCATAGATTCTACAACTGTCTAGAAAATTACTGGTAGGGATTGGGGATTGTACAAGAAATTCCCCTATTTGGTATTTTGATGACAGTTGTCATCAAAAGGTCAAACATATTTAATTAAGTTGAAGTTAGCTAAAATGGTTAACATCAATTTAATATTTATCAGATGATCGGTGAATGTCCATGGATGGAGTTAAAGTCATTCTGTAGGATACCAATCCCAGAAATACAGAAATATAAAAAATATTTATGTACTATAAACTTTTTATTGATTTGTAGAGATGCTTTCCTCTAATAGGACCGGAAAACCTTAGAACAAAATGTTCCCTCACTGCATAATAGAGACCACAGATCACTTCACCTTAGAGGTGAAGGGTTTACGTTTTTTTTTCTTTACTCAGTCACCTGTTCTTACAGATGGTCACAGAGCAGTTTAGCGCCCCCGTGAACATTTCTAATAATAGCCACAACTAAAATAGACAGTCATCACATGAAATCAATAATGCCACTTAGATATGACAGAGTGGGCTGGCATGCTGCCCCTCACACTTGGATTATCGTGACACTTGTAACTAAGCTCACTCTTATGCGGCAGCTTTGGATGCATGACCAAGTTAATGTCAAAAGAGAAATGTTCTTTAAACATGGAAAAGCCACATGTTAAAAATGTCCGACAATAAGAGAAGATCATTGAATCGATGTGTGATAATGAAGTCAAATGAGTTTCCAAAGTGACAGAACGTAAAGAGAAAGAATGAATGTAGAAAGTTGACAAATAGCGCCATCCAGAGGTCAGAAAATGACAGTTAATACACAGCTGTGCTCAGACTGATCTTGGGTATGAATGTTACTCTGGCCTTTTAATGGTTCTGCATAATCCACACAGGGTCAAATATTTACGTATATTCACTTTAATCTTTTAATACATGATGAGGGCCAAAGCACATTATCTTCTAGTTACTGATCATGATTGACTACAACTGGTAGTTTCTTTTTGCCAGAATAAAAAGGATTTGTTAGACAGCACTTACTGGATTGACCAATACCCAGCACAATGTGAAAGTCCAAGGAATTCAGTTAACATCTAAGGACAATTGTAGATTTACACGAGTTGGGAAGGCCGTTTCTAAACAGTTCAAACTTGTCCTCGGGATCTCCTTACCTGGATGATTGAGCATGTTCAGACAACTGTATGCAAGTTCAGGAACAACCCAGGAATCACTCAGAGTGAAACCTGCCATGAACTGGAAACCAGTATCACAGTTTACAGTGATGCAAGTTTTCCATTGTCATGGTCTAAGAAGGTGCTGGCCAAGAAAGACACCCCTGCTCCAAAACTCGACTGAAATTTCCAGCTGTCCACGTGGATTAGCCTTCTGGAGAAAAGTTTTATGGTTGGATTAGACAAAGGCAGAACTATCTAGCCACAATGACAAGAGGCATGATTGGAGGAGTAAAGGTGAGGCTCTGGGGATGGTTTAGTCACTGGTGCATTATGAAAAGTGGAAAGAGTAATGGAGGATGACGTCTACCTACAAATTCAACTTCACCTCAAACCAACAGCTAGACCAGTTGAAACCTAAAAACAATTAGGTTTTTACTTTAGTTATTTTTATTTTCAAGCGTTTATGAGCCCTGATCCACAGGATATTTAAGGGATAAAAAACCCAAACATTTTACATCTATTAAAAATTACAACCACATCCAACCACTCCACACAAAGGCCCAGCAGGACTTTGCAAACCTCTTAAGTCATGTCAAACTGGTTTCTTGAACTTGATAACAAGTTTACTGTACTCAAATGACCTCCACGTCATCAGATCTCAATCCAATAGAGCACTTCTGCAATGTGGCGGAACATGAAAATCCAGTCATGGATGTGTAGCAACTGTGACGCAATCATGTCACTCAGAATCTGAGGAATGCGTGGAGCACCTTGATTAAATTATGCCAAGAACTCATTCCAACTCAATTTTACATATAGTACTAAAACACAGCTACCTCAGGGTGCTTTATATTGAATGTTAACCAATCAAAGCAACACTGAAGTCAAAGTGGTCCAACCTGGTATAAGTGTACGTATGCATGCTGCACAACTAGAATAACCATAAATAAAGGCATTGCCACTACACAACTCATGTTATACCAAGCAGTTTGTTTAAAATGGCTGAATTACCTCATCAAAATGTCTTGAAATTCTCCAGAGGCCTGGTAATGAACTAATCATTTGAGTCAGGTGTGTCGACCCAGGGTGAGATATAAAACCTGCAGGACACTGGCCCTTGAGGCCTCGAGTTCCCCCATCCCTGCTCTACACCAACTGTTTTTGGTGTTTAATCAGACCTTGTGACTTGATGTCAAGTCCCGGATTCTTGCTGCAAATATATGACTTGAAAATTTTGCCTTTAAACCATCTTGAATCATTGCATAGCATGTGACTGAAAATGAATTTACTCATGTTTCCTCACATAAACAGCTTTATTAAGCAACAATGCAGTCTGACTAAACAGTGAGAATGCTAGACGCGACAAAAAAAAGTGGACATATCACATCAACGTAGTCTGCATCTGGCAGAAGACATGAGTCACATTGAGGGAGATTTTAAAAAAAATGTTAAGAACAAATTTAAAAAGCTAAATATCTAAACATGCTTGCATATGCAGTAAATACAAATTATAGCTTAAAAACCAGACCATGGAATGTCACTGGGTGATCTAAACTTTGGACCAAGATTGTTGGTGGGTCTTGTTTCCTGTCTGGTGGGAGAGAGACAACAGTTAGAGAACAAAGAAAAACTACTGTTAGCCGATTCAGACTGATGGAAGAGCTGACTTACTTTGGCCCAATAGTTTTGGTTTCACCCCACACAAATGGAGGAGCATTGTTATCCGCCTCTGCAAGATGGGACAGTTACCTTAATACTTTCACTAAGTATCGTCTCAATGTCTCAGGGTGCAGCACAAAAAGTTTATATTTCAGGTGCATTTAGACCCAGACCCATTCTTAAAATGGAAAGTATTGTTTAACAGTCAGAAACTGAAGGGGGAAAAGCAGTTTTCAAACACAAGGTTTGAAAAAGGTTGACCTAGGTGAGAAATGGGATATTTCACATTTTACACAGTAGCAGTTCATCACAACAGGCCTGAGCAATCTTCCAGAGTTAAATTCATTCAGTAATAGTTACTAAAACTAGCAACCGAGACCATTAACCCAGATGAAGCGTTTACAGAGGTCACAAATCAAGTGAGCGTAAGCTTCAAGCAGGAGGAGCAGTTGTCTTCAGCTTTCCATTACAAGGAAAGCGAGTCTAAAGCACTTTAACGCTTGAGTCACACAGTCAGGTAAGGGTTAGTCATCCTTGTGCCAATACAGAGATGATGAGGTTATAAGTCATACCTTGATCCCAATCCTCAGTCATGTTTGGGTTAACCCAAGTGCTGACTGGGACATGCCAGTTACAAGGTCCATTTGAACTTGAACTTCCATCTGTAATAGGGGTGTAAAATAAGAAATATTCACGATGTTAAACATGATTAAATTTAAGTTAAAGAAAAAAAAAAGAAAAAAAGAAAAGCAGTCTTACCTTCTTCCATGTCCACAGGAACTCTGTCCTCGCAGGTCTCAGTGTGGTGAGCCATCTCATGTTTGGGGACCAGGTGGCGAGCATTAAAAGGGCAGGTTTTTAGTTCACGGGCCAGTTTGGGATGGTTCTGCAGAGAGTTTATATAAACAATTAAACTTTCAGTCATGGCTAAAGTTTCATTCAAGCCAGGGAATTACACAAGACCAGTACCAGCTTCGCCACTTAGCAATTTTTATTCTCCCTCATCCACCAGTGGACAACATTTGGCTACTTTAGTGTTTTGATGTTCTGCTGGATAAAAATAACTTTAAGCGCTGGTTCAGCGGTTAGATTATTCAATAGGATGCTGTTTAACTCAGCTGCATGACACAGAGGCCCTTCCAAGATTTAATGTTTGCATTGTAATGGCTGCTGTGAACTTCTAACAAGGCCAAACTCTCTTATAAGATTAAAACCATCAGTGGAACTACGGAAACTAAAAAAATAAAACTAAAATGAGTAAACTCAATTTGACAGACTAATGTAAAATAGAAAGAAAATACAACTAAAACCTAAAATTTTAAAGATACTAGCACTTGACTCACCTTCCTGCACTTTATGATGTGGTAAGGAAAGCGGCTGGACCGGATCTTGTGGTTTTTATCAAAAGGGCACTGAAGAAGTTTTTCTGGGTCTGTGTTTCCTTTACCATCTTTAAAGGGGGTGAGAAGCAAATGCATTAACTTAGGATTTAAAGTACTGACAACACCTTAAAATGTTAAAAGAAAAAAAAAAGAAAAAGAAAGAAAGTTTCACCATATTCCTCCACCAGCTGTGCTGGCTCTGCAGAAGAGGTCCTGCAGGGACTGCTGGTGCTTCCAATTACGAAATTGCTCGCCATCCGTAGCTGGGATTTACTGTGGGCAGGCAAACAATTTAAATTAAAATATAACCACCCACCCCCAAATAGACACACAGGAATTGTGTAAACTAAATGCTTGCACTTTGGTAATGCCAACACATGGCACAGCATTCACAAGCTGCATAACCACATTAACCCTTCAGCTCTGCAGGTGTGCAACATTTTTCTGTCACCCCAAAGTGAGCTTAACTTAGCCTGCTGGTTTGGATTAGTTTTAAATATAGAGAAGAAGTAGAAAAAATATTCCTAATATGTGTACAAAGACAGAAACATGAGTGACCTTACTGAATGAAGCTAGCTCTCCCCCCCAACTCTTTGTGTCGCAGTATACGTGCAGGTGGTTCCTACACCCCCTGTTCTTCTTTGACCTGATTAAACATCCCATGATGACCAAATATTCACGTTTGACTGATATAAAGCCATTCTTTATGGCTAAAATAAGTCGTAGAGCTAACTCGTGGACACGTTACACAGTACCTAGCTCATCAAACGTTACTGTAAAATATGCAGCAAGAAGACCTGGCCCGTTTCCAAAGTCTGTTAGCAAAAAAGTTGCCTAGCTGCTCAGCACATTGCCTGAGACACTAACACGTGAATTTTAAACACCTGCACTTAACTTTTGTAAAGTTTATAGAAAATGGTTAAAATAAAGCCTAGAAGCAGTTTAAAATTACCGTGAAAGAGAGCCGTTTCTCTCAAAAGATATCAAACAACCAGAGCCGCCCCACTTCTTTAAATCTCGCGAAGAGTCACGTGATTTTTAGCACTTACATTTTTTTTATTATCTCTACGGGGATTTTAACTTTTTTCTTTTTAAAAAATATTTTTTTATATGAACTATGAATACTATCAATAAAATGTGCAAACTGAATCTCTGGCTTATGGTGGAAGAAGCAGCTAATTAAATTAGTTGTCCGTGCAAAAAGTACCCACTCATTTTTAAGTAAAGATGATAAATAGCATCAATAAAACATGATAATTAAATTGCACTGACTTTTGGAAGAATTACCAAATTAAATGAACTGCAAAAGTAAGAGTACATACAGTAGACACTACTGATTACATGTAAAATTCCAGTACTCAAAGTAAAATGCTAACGTAAAAGTACACAGCTACTGGCAAAGAAGTAGTATGAAGAATAAGAAAAAATCTAAAATTCTTTAGTGATCTTAAAAGGTTAGAAATTATTGTATTAGAGCAGCGAAAACAACAAAATGTAATATACTTATAATAAAAGACTTATTTGTAACTGGACCTATTTGTATCACATCATATCATATTTTTCTTATATTAAAGCAGACTTTTTATTTTGTGAATGGATGGTTCATTAAAATATGAAAGAGTCAGTGTTTTTAGAATGCTTATTTACATTTATAAAACAAAATAGGTTACAGCATGTGACTCATATTTAGCCTGGCACCATTTTTCCCCATTACGGTAACTGACTCACTTTCATCTTTGCTGTATATGAGCGTCATTACGGTAAGTGCGCTGCCTGTCAAACATGGCGCTGTCCTGTTCGAGTCTGTGTAGTCAACTGTCTTTAATCCGACACTGTCGTCTCGGTAAAAACAGGATAACACATGGTCTTTACTCTCCCTTCGTGGTCTGTCAGTTCAGGTATATATGGAACCGATTAACATCGTCGCTTCCATCATTTATCATTTTTGTTTTACTCGTGTTTCATGAACCTTTGCTAAGCTAGCTACCGGCTGATAAGAGATATTGAAAATAAGATTTAAAATAAAAAAAATAAAGTACGTTGTTGATATTTTCATCAGAGAAATTATTATATCGTGATCGGTGCATACCTCAACGATAAAGAGTAATCATGTTTAATTCTTTAATGTACAAACAATTATTTTATTCCTTTAATGACAGATATCTTTCCTCTCTGATAGACTGCCCCTGTGTAGACACTACTCATCGTCCGAAGTCAGACGAGGTTTTGCTCGTTATGTTGCCTCCAAACTCCAGTGGGCTAATACCAAATATGAAGATTTTCTTAAAAAGCGATTTCCCCGCTTTTTTCTGCTCTATCACACTTTCGTGGAAGGTAAGCTCACGGTTTACTCACTCCTGAGGTCTCCAAAAACACTGCAGGAGTGCCCTGTGAGTCTTGTTAGCACAACAATGAGGTTGGGAGACCTGACTAGGGACCAGGAATCAGGAAACAGGCTGCTGTAGTACATAGGCACCTTATATATGAAGGTTTTTGAAGATGAAAGTTGCTGAGAGAAAGAGACTTCAAGACCCAACTCATGATCAGAATCTGGAGTTAAAATAAGACATTTAATAGCCAGATTTCTCATATTCCATGGCCTTAATATGATCGTTTCACCTGGTCTACTAACATCAGGGTCCTCAGGGTCTTTACTTCCTGTATGGGTTTGTTTGCTTTTGTTCTAGAATTGAAAAAGCCTTTTGGATGGTAGGTGAAATGTCTTCAAAAACCTAAAGTAGTCCAGTTGTCTTCTTTCAAACATCACCCCATCAGCAGCATTATATCCAGAAAACACTGTTCTTGTCCATCACTTACCCGAGCTTATTTTTTTCAGGTCTTGCAAGTCAAATTTTCATTTTACTCTATTAAAACTGCATTAAACAAGCAAACAAACATTGCATACTACATACTGTTTGTAATATACAAATGATTATATAATTACATCATTTTGTGGCCCCAATCTAAAGCGAACATCTACAGGAGTACAAGCAGGCTCAGGAGTTGGTGTCTAAATACACAGCATGCTACAAAGCACTTTGTTCTAAGAGTCAAATAAATTTTTTAAATCTACAGTAATATTTAAAACAATTTTTTCTGTCACTCATTCCAGGATTCAAGCTACTGTTCCGAGATGCCAAAGATATCAGGAGGATAAAAGGAAAAATGTGGTCTGATGGAGTAAAGTTCCAGGATTTGCCTTACAGGGACATGGAGAAACTCAGACAGGTGGGTCTGATTACCACACTGCACACAGAAATATCAGAATTTTCCACACATATTAGAAATGGAGGGAATCAAACTGCTTATAGCTCAGTGAAAATGAGTAATTTCTTGATTATTATTAAATTTGTATTAAATATAATTACATTTATTTTGTTATTATTAAATCTGCAATAAGTCAGAATTTTTTTTTTTGATTTTTTAAATATTTTAAATTGCAAAAGTTTGGAATATACTTGATTTTGATTGTTATGATGCTATTGCTTCTGAGTGTAAAATTTTCTTTTGACTGCATTCTGTCTAATGGCCAGCAGGGGGCGAACCCTGGTTGCAAAAAAAAAATTCACTTGTATAGAAATTCCCTCTGCTTTTTTTTAAATCTGGGATCTTTTTAAAAATCCTTTCCTTCATACATTCACTCTTAGCAAACAAAAGTTGTGTTTTCTATCATGTTATCTACCAAAATGTGATGCATTTTGTCACAGAAAATCCAATATAATCCTATTTTATTTAGATTATCGATTGGAGTATTATTAGTGTAATACCGGCAATGGGAATTCATGTAGAGTTAACACCATCTCCATGCACACAGATAAAACCAGTTCTATTTTGTTTTGACACTAATTGTCAAAACTGTTTAAAATTTTAAAGGCAAATAAACTATTATATTATTTAGTGCAGTCATCAGTTTGTGATCATTAAAAGAATAAATAGACAGAAAAACAGAATTCAAGATCAAAATAACAAATGAATATATTCTAATTTAAACTCCTAAAATGAAAAGGCTTAAATCAACCATAAAAAGAAAAAACAAACACCCACTGTTTGAACTGGTCATAATGAGTTAATTCTGTCTGATATTAGGTTAACAGGCGTGAGGATTTATCAAGATGCTAGCACTTCAGGTGCATGAGGGCTGGGATGACATGCCTCAGGAGGTAGAGAAGGTCATCTACTTTATCAGCATTGAAAAATGTGTAATGCTGATGTAAGCAATGCTCTTATTTATTTTTGGCAGCTTCTTCTTTTTGATCAGTTCAGTGGAATGTCTGTTTCCAACTCTTCTTGTCTTCTAAATCTTCCCTTTTCATGCCAACCATCAGCATTTCCTGTCAAAACAACTGTAAAGCTCCTTTTTGTTTTGTTTTTTTTCTTGCTTGTCAGCCTCATCTTCTGCATCCTTTTCCCGATAATTGCACTTTCTCCCCTCCACACATCTCAGCCGATTCATCTCTCTGACTTTGTACTTTAGGTATTCAATCTGAGCTATCGCTCTGAATAAATACTAATGGTATTTAAAAATAATTTCATAATCGTGAGGTCTGTCAGAGCATCCTTTAAGGGGAGGGATTAGCGTTTAGTCACCCGTTCTCATAAATTAGTGTAGATTTTGGTAGAGTTTCAATTCCCGTGTTTATGTCAGTGTAGTATTTTTAGTTTATGCATTGTCAGTGTTTCAGGGCTGTAATGTCTCACAGTAACTTGGCTCACTTGACTTGTGTTTGACAGTTTCGCAGAGACTTGATCAAGGCCATCCCGCTGGTGATCATATCCATCCCTCCCTTTGCCAACTACCTGGTTTTTGTCTTGATGTGAGTCCTCTTGAAATAACCATCTCATTTGATTTGCAGGCTTATTTATGTTGCTGTCCCTGTTCATTAATCATTTTCTGTCACTTATTGTGCCTCACTCTGCTAACAACACCTCCTCCTGCATCGACAGGTATTTCTTCCCCCGTCAGCTCCTGATCCCTCACTTCTGGACTCCCAGTCAGCAGCTGGAGTTTCGGAGAGTGTACCACTCCCTCAGAGCTCGGCACCACTGGCCGGTGCTCAAAGGACTTGAGTACACGAGTCAGCAGGACAAAAATGGTCACTTACAGACACAACTTAAGGACCTGTGTGCAAAAGTAAGTATCGGGAATGTGTAGCAGTACTGCTTTCTGCTTGCAAAGTACACTAATCATTCACGAACAGTTTTTACAGTGTGACCCCTTATAATGTTATCTTCCTGAATGTAGCACAAGTTATCAGGGAATAAAAGTAAAGTAACATCCTCATTAATGTCAGAACCAAAGATTTTTCAGCCGAACATTGCCCAGACATCACTTTTCTTCTACTGTCTTGCACTAAATCTGTAGCATATCCTGCCAGCATCTCTTCCAAAGTTAAGGGCACGCACATCCTCTTGGTTGTGCGCATAATGTAAGAGAAAATGTGACTCATCAAACTGATCCATCTTCTTCCCTTGCTCAATAACCCAGCTTTGCACTTGCATAATCACTAAAGGCTATCCAACTGATGATTTGGGTAGATTTTAGTGGTGGAGAGCCGAGAGCATGCGCACTATGACCTGTCTGTGGTTATTGTGCTCCATGCATGTGTCCTGTCAGCTTTCTTGGGTGCTTATAATCTTGTAAGCACCCAAGAAATCTTGTTGCTTGTCTGTGCTTGGCCTGCTTCTAGTACTAGCCCATGTTTATTGGGGAAACACCTGATACCTGTGGTTTGAAGATGATCTGTGCAAGTGATCTGGCCATTACAGTTCTGTCTGAGAGATTCTTATGCTGTCCAATTTTTTCCCCACTTCCATGTCGACTGTGAAAACTGACTCGTCACTTGCTATTTAATGTATTCCCCCTCTTATTAAGACAATGGAAATCCTCACTCTTAATTGTCAGTGGTTTTAAAATAGTGCATTGTTTTTCTGCTCTGCTAAGTATT